GGGGGGAAAGAGATGGGAGCGTGAGGATAGCTGAGTGAGAGTGGAGGAGCCAGGGTTGGAGTGAGGGCGCTGCGCACTGAGCCATGCCCGCTCTCCAACCCGGCCAGCCCTCCCTCCAGCTCCCAGTACGTACCGGCTGCCTGGGGCCGCCAGCCCAGGGCCAGGAGCACCCCGGCGGCCAGCCACAGGCTCATCTCCGTCCTTCGCTCAGGCTCTGCCGACAGCCCCGGGCTCAGTCCCGGGAGCCCGTCCCGAGGAGCTGGCTCCCTGTTCCAGGACAGCACTTGGTATCCCCCACCTCCTACATCTCCCTGAGCAGCCTGCCCTCCCGCTTTATATACACCCTCCCTCCCGGCGGACAGCCGGCAACCCCGTTCAAGAATGTCCGCTCACACACCCGCCCTCTCTCTCTCCCTCTCACACCCTCCCTGTATCTCTCCTTCCCCCCGCTCCCTCTATCTCTCTCTCCTCCCTCTATTTGTCTTTTTCATCCCTTGCTCTTTCTCTCTTTCCTTCCTCCCTCCCTGTATCTATCTTTTTCCCCCTATCTTTCTGTCTCTTCCTCTCTCTCTCCTCCCTCTTTCCCTGCCTCCCTCCCTGTGTCTGATTTCAGACTGCACTTTCTGCCACTCCCTCCTGACATTCTCTCTCTCTTTACTTTCTTCCACAGCCGCACGATTTCTTGCTCCCGCCGTCCCCTTCTGTAATAATTTGCTCTTCACCTCTCAGTCTCTTTTTCTGCCCTTCCCTCTCTTGTCTGTATTGCCCCCTCTATCTCCAGGTATCTATCTCTCTCTAGGAAGTTCCTTTTATTCTGCCCCTGTCTCTTTCTCTCTCTATTTGAGCATCTACCTCTAGCGCTTTCTCCCTATTTCTCTGTCTTTATTTCTCTCTAATATTGTCTCTATTTGTTTCTCTCCATTTCTGTTTTCATTTCTCAAACTATGTTCAGTGGGAGCCACTAAGTTTCAGACCCTCACTTCTCTCCGCACTCCTCCCTCACTCAGACCTTCACTCCTCATGGAAAATCCCATCAACATGAAACACCATTTGAGTTCAGCCCTTTCACTTTTACTACCTCTTGGGGTTTGGGATCTCCGCTCCATCTGTCCCCCCACCCCAACCAACCACCCCTCCCCCCAACAACCACCACCCGACTGACCCCTTGAACTGGGAGCCACAAGTTGTAAGACAAACTGAGGAGCTGAGAGGTTCAGAATTGTACATAGAGCAAAACCCAGGCTGGCAATGTAGCCAGACTTGTAACAAATCGAAGGATGGGAAAGAGGGAGACGGCGAGAGAGAGACTGGGACGGGGAAGAGAGACTGGGAGATGAGGAGAGAGACTGGGAGAGGAAGAAAATCAGGGACAGAGTGAGAGAGAGAATCTGGGAGATAGAGTGGATGAGAGAGCTGACAGAGAGGGAATGAGAAATGGAGAGAGACAGAGGTAGAGCGTGAGACAGCGAGAGTGAGAGAATTAGGAAGAGAAAGAGAGACTGGAGGAGTAGGGAGAGAGACAGGGAAGATAGAAAGGTACAGAGAGGGAAGGTGAGTAAGAAAGAAAGAAAGAGACCAAGAGACAGGGAAAGAGGGAGAGTCTGGAAAAGAGAGAGTCAGAGAGAGAGAAGGGGGAGAGAGAATGGGAGACAGAGAGAGAAAGAAAGGAGACAGAGAGTGGGAAATAAGGAGACAGAGAGACTGGGGAAGGAGAGAGTAAGAGGGGGTGTGACAGAGAGGAAAGAGCGTAAGACTGGGAGAGAGGAATAGAATGAGTGAGACAGAGACAAGGGAGTGAGAGAAACAGTTCATGTCCAAATGTAGCAAGATCTGGACAGAGGAGAGAGGGGAAGAGACAGAAAGATAGAGAAGAAAAAAAGATAGAGAGAGGGAGCAAGATCTGGACAATATCCAGGCTTGAGCTGAGAAGTTGCAAGTAACATCCATGCCAGGCAATGACTGTTTTTCACATTAGAGAATCTAACCATCACCCCTTGCTGTTCAATGGCATTACCATCACTGAATCCCTCACTACCAACATCCTTGGGGGGTTACTATTGACCAGAAACTGAACCAGACTTGCCATATAAACACAGTGGCCACAAGGGCAGGTCAGAAGCTAGGAATACTGCAGCAAGTAACTCACCATCTGACTCCTCAAAGCCTGCCCACCATCTACAAGGCATGAGTCAGGAGTTTGATGGAATACTCCCCACTTGCCTGGATGACTGCAGCCCCAACAACATTCAAAAAGCCTGACACCATTCAGGACAAAGCAGCCTGCTTGTTTAGTACCACTTCCATAAATATTCATTCCACCACCTTAGTAGCAGCAGTGTGTACCATCTACAAGATGCACTTCAGAAGTTCACCAAAGATGCTTAAACAGCACCTTCCAAACCCAAGATCACTTCCATCTAGAAGGACAAGGGCGCAGAAGGACAAGGGCGCAGAAGTACAGGAACACCACCGTCGCCTCCAAGCCACTCATTGTCCTGACTTGGAAATATATCATCATTCCTTCAGTGTCACTGGGCCAAGGAATTCCCTCCCTAAGGGCATTGTGGGTCAACCTACAGCACATGGACCGCAGCGGTTCAAGAAGGCAGCTCACCCCCACCTTCTCAAGGGCAACTAGGGATGGGAGATAAATGTTAGCCCAGTCAGTGATGCCCACATCCCATGAATGAATAAACAAACTCTTGGAAATAGAGAGGGGACAGGAAAGAGACAGAGTCAGAGAGAGATTGAGTGAGACAAGGTAAGAGGGTAATTGGGAGAGAAACCAGGAGAAACAGAATGTGAGAGAGCGAGACAGAGAGAGTAAAGCTGATAGAAAGATACAAGGTAAGAAAGTAACAAGAGCAGAGTGAGAAACAAAGGAAAAGAGATTCTAAACAAAGGAGATGAGAAAGAGAGTGAGACAAGAAGAGGGTAATTGAGACAGAGAGAAAGAGAACAAGAGAAAGAGAAACAGGAGATAATAAAGAGACTGAGCAAGGCAGGGAAGAGGGAAACTGAGACAGAGATGGAACAAATAACAGTGTGTGCAGGCAAGGAGGAAAGAGTGAATGAGAGGAAAAGGGTGAGACTGAGACATGAGAGTGAGAGAGGCAAAGAAAGACTGAGACTGAGACAGAGAGATGAAATTTCATAGTAGCAGGTTTAGAGTAGGTGTGTTTAATCAGGCAGGGGTAGGGTGTGGGAGTTGGCTCTGCCAGACTGAAGGCTTGTGGATTGGCTGACTGACTGGCAGCTTTCACGAATGGGGTTCCTGCCCCAGGGTCTTTAAACGTAGGGAAGGTCAGAAATTGGCCAGGCAATTCCACTGTGCTGTCCTCAACACACCCAACCTGAGGCACTAGTCAGCTCTCCAGAACCCCATTATTAACATTCAAGTCTACCTGGTGAATGGGCTGAGAGGGAGAGAGACACCTAGGCAGACTGAGAGAGTGAGACTGCATGTGAGAGACTGAGAAAGTGTGAGAGAATTTTTAAAAATTCATTCACAGGATGAGGACATCACTGGCTAGGCCAGCATTTATTGACCATCCCTAATTGCCTAGAGGGCAGTTAAGAGTCAACCACATTGCTGTGGGTCTGGACTCACATGTAGGCCAGACCAGCTAAGGACAGCAGTTTCCTTCCCAATTGACAATGGATTCATGGTCATCATTAGACTCTTTTATTGAATTCAAATTCCACCATCTGCCGAGGTAACATTTAAACCTGGGTCTCCACAACATTACCTGGGTCTCTGGATTAACAGTCCACTGATAACACCAATAGGCCACCGTTTCCCCATAAGAGACAGAGAGGGAGAGTGAGACTGAGAAGGAGAGAGAGTGTGAGAGACTGAGGGAGACGGGAAGTGAGACTGAGAGGAAAAAAGAATGAGACTGAGAGAGTGTGAGACTGAAGAAGAGAGAGAGTGAGACTGAGAGGGAGAAAGACTCAGAATCCCATCTTCAAATACCAATCTGCCTTTACAACTGCAATGATTTACAGAAAATTATGCTCAGGCTCCTCTGCCTGCATCCACTTTAGAATTACATTCTTTATATTGTCTTTTCTGGTTCTTCTTACCAATATTCACTGTTCTCTGCGTTCACTTTCTGCAGTATATTTACATTTACTGTACCTGCCAAATTATTGCCTATGGATTTATCTCCATACCAACTACTGCTGTGTATTTTTCTGACCTCTTACACAGTCTGTTATTATGTAATCTACCTGGAGCTGTATTAGCACAGGAACGGGGCCAAGCACGCAATTGCTCCCTCCTCCTGAAATTGTCTGATCCTCTCTAATTGGCAATTGTGGAGCTGACTCATGGCAAAATTTGACCCTGAGAGAGTGGAACGGTGAGACCAGTTTTTAGTGAATGTGTGAAATGTGTGTGATGAGCTCAAACTTAAATCACAATCAGCGTGAAGTTGAGAATGAGAGAAAATGGATACAGAGAGGGAGGGTGGCAGAAACAAAGAAAGACAGAGAGAAAGAGAAAGGATATTTCAAGAAAGTCCATTCATTAAGATGGAAAGGATCAAATCAGTCACTGGTTTTACAATCTGTCTGATGGTACTTTCCATTGAAAGAGACAGGGAGAAACAGAGCAGGATGATACAAGTTTTGGACAAGTATTTTGTACTTATCCTCACAGTGGAAGACCCAGAAAGCATCCCAGGAATAGTAGGAAATCAAGAGGGGAAATAACTTAAAACAGTCAAGATTACTAAAGAAAAAGCACCAGGAAAGTTAATGAGATTAAAAGCTGACATTTCCCTGGGACCTGATAGCCTGCATCTTTAAAGTAAATGGCTGCAGAGACAGCAACCCTCCAAAATTCTGGAAAGGACTTAGCAATTGCAAAGGTGTAAATGTAACACTTCTATTCAAGAGACAGACATAAAGCAGGAAACTATAGGCAATTTAATCTAAGAAATGACTTTGGGCAAATGCTAGAATCAATTACGTGTAGTTACTGTTGTAGAGTAGGACCCAGGGAGCTAACTTGCGCACAGTGAGATCACACAGACAGCAACAGAACAATGACCAGGATACCTGTATTAGCCCAGGGATAACAGCAGTTACAGCTCGCCAGAGCCCCACTGACACCCTACAAATGGACCTTTTGATGAAGTATAGTTTGCAGGTCAATGCTTGTAGAGTATAGCACTGTAAATGAATGCTTATTAAAGTGTATAAACATTGGCTGAAGATGCTGGAGGGATGTGGGAATAAGGTGATGAATGTGATTGGTGCTATCTGCTCAGCTCAGGTAGCCTGTTTCCATGATGCATTCCCATGTGGCTGGACTGGAACAGACCCCAGGATGAATAGAAGACGGAATATTATTTAAATGGGGAAAGATTGCAGAAAGCTGTGGCACAGAGGGAT